CCGTTTTATTCCTTTGGAAAATATAATATTCTGCTTTTTAATATCCCCCAAAATATTTCCTTCTCTGGGGGGGGGGTGCTGACTTCCTATAGTACCTTCTTCCTCCTATTTTTCCCACCACAAACAACCTTGTGAATTACCAGGCACTGCTGAATAGATCTAATTTTGGTTTGTCTAGATCCCTTAGAAATCTCTGATACTATCCAGATCTAAATGTCAGATTATTTACCTTTAGTGGAAGGCAGAGATGCTGAAGAATATTAAGCAGGGTTTTTTTTTCCTTCCCCAGTATTGCTCAAATTGTTTGCCAACCCTGATTCTTCTGTTCTTTTTCAGTTGAGAGGGAGTAAATGCCCTCAAGCAAGGATGCAACCAAGTGACCTTTTGTAAAAAAATTCTGCTTACTTATAGTACACAAATGCTATGGCAGCACTTTTATTTCCTACCCTAACATTAATGATGTTCCTTTCCTTTTTCACACAGTCCATGGGTGAGACTAATAAGTCATCCTTTGCTGCACCAGTTGCATTCTCCTCCTAATTCTGACACAATGTTCTGTCTTAAAGTATCTATAATCTGTTAGACTTTATCACCCATTACTGGGTGGTTGACTATGAGTGGCAAGCGAGACAGCGGATGTCATACTGGCATAATTTCTGGTTGACTCAAGGATGGATGGAGACAGCCAACTCAGCAATAGGCTGAGAATTTGGAAAATGTTAATCTCAATGTATCTGGAAGAGGGAGTCTGAGGAAAGATGGAACAAAATGTTTCAATATTTTGTTCTCTGTTTGCCACAGTGGAATGAAACTCCCCCTTAGTTGGATTCTCACAATGCAGGACAAGTTAATTCAGACTTCAGACTTCACTTCAAACTTCACTATTGCCCCTTACAAAATACTAGGAGGTATCTCCTTCTCCCATCCCTCTTCTGTTACTTCTAATTTGGCACATATTCTTTGGCTTATTAATGTATTCAATGGATCATGCTAAACAATCTCGAATGAATTCTAATGAAATTTTACTACACTATTAATTTCTTCGTATCTTTGGAGATTCTCAATCATCCAGGTCATGGTTATCCCAAAGGTGCTTTTCAAAAGGCAACTGGACTTCCTTGATTTTTCTCTCCTTGAAAACATTTTGCTTCTTATCCAAGAAGGTTCTCATCCAAGAAGTCCAGATGCCTTTTGAAAAGCACCTTTGGGATATTAATTTATTCATTCCCTCCTACCTCTGTCACTGTATCAGTGCTGTCTAGGCAACCAAAGTGGAGTTTGCTTTGGGTTATGCTGAACTTTAGGGGGTAAACATCTAGCCCAGTGTTTCTCAACCTTGGTGGTTTTTAGAGGTGTGTACCTCAACTCCCGGGATCCCCCAGAGTTGAAGTTCATACCTTTTAAAGTTGCCAAGGTTGAGAAACACTGGCCTAGCCTATAAAGTGTTAAAAACTGTCTCTGTGTGCTAACTACCCAGGTGCAGACAGATACTTACACTTGGCAAAAGACGTGGATGGCCAGCAGCACGGTGTGCTCTCAGAACAGAGTTGTACGAGGAAGCCAACTTAGCATTCATTGCCAAGAATTCCACTGCAAAAATTTTGTTTGTCTTTTTTCAGTGGGTCTGGCTCAGTACAACAATGGCAGGAAGACATTTCTATTCCAAGGGAAAGTGATGTGTGATTTTAAAGTGTGCATTATTTCTTGGCATGTTACAAACAAGTAGAAAGCAAGAATGTGATCAATGTTACAGTAAAGGGTTTTTTATAGAGTTGACTGAACATGCTGTGAACTGATGGGAAATGATTTCTTTTTCTTGGTATCTTGCCCTTGGACCTGTTCGGCCAAGTTGTTTCCTTTTTGTCTTGGCTTATTCCACTCTGTGGAATAAATGTTGACAAGCAGATCGCTGCTGCTTTTAATGGGGCTGTAGTTCATCATAGACAAAATGAGAAACCAATGGTTTCATATAACTGGCCAGGAAGGGAATGAAAGGCTATCACTCTGTGCTTTTCAGTCATGCACTTCTCTAGAACTGTTCCAGGCTTGCCTTCCATTTGAGGGAGAGGTCACTGGTAACTCAGTGGTTACTCTCTGATTATTTATAATCACATGACATGACATACTAATGCTATTAATCAAAGTAAGGTGGTGACTTTGGCTAATGGATAAGCAAAGGTAAAGAGGTGGAGGTTGGAGCTGGGTGCTATACAGCCTGCAGGGTGCTCCTTAGCCCTCCAACAGTAGAAACTGGGGAGGAAGTGATGGCAGCCTTCCCATTGCTACTCAGTTGGACTGCTCTTTGGCTCTAGGTGTTGTTTTAGTATCTATGTTGAGTTCAAGTCTCAGTCCATATAGAAAGGATGGAGAGTGCCCAATTGTCCATTCCTTCAGTAGGCATATTGGCTTGGGCAGAACTTAATATGCAGCAAAATATTTTAGATGGGTAACAAATCTTTACTAGGATGACTCTTTGCCATTAATCCAGTGGAACAGCTTGCTGTCAGAAGTTGTGACTGGAGGTTTTTAAGAAGAGACTAGATAGTGACTTGTCTGGAATGGTATAGGGCAGTGGTGGCGAACCTATGGCACGGGTGCCAGAGGTGGCACTTAGAGCCCTCTCTGTGGGCACACGTGCCGTTGCCCCAGCCTTGCCTCCCCCGTGACACCCTCCTCACCAGCAGCCCTCCTGGAGAAGGGTCACCCCCGAGTGTGGCCCACGCGGAGCAGTGCAATCAAGGACATGGCAGCCAGGCAGCGTAGACAAGACTCTGCCCTCATGCCCCATCCCACACAGTTGATGCTGCGGGGCGCGGGCAGAGGGCATGGCTGCCATGGCGCTGCTGGGTGATCTGCGGCGGGCCCTGGAGGCAATGAGTGGCCCTGCGGGCAGGTGGGGTGGGGGCGGGGCAGGGGCAGGGCAGGGGGTAGAGTGGGGGCGGGGCCAGTTTTTGGGCACTCGGTCTCTGAAAGGTTCACCATCACTGGTATAGGATCTCCTGCTTGAGGAGGGGGTTGGACTAGAAGACCTCCAAGGTCCCTTCCAGCTCTATTCTGATTGATTGATTGATTGATTGATTGATTGATCTTTCAGCCTACAGTATTTTCCTTCCCACTGTGCTTATTCATTTGGTCTCAATATTGCAAACCCTGCCTCTGACTGCCTTTTAAGAGAGACAAGGTAGATGGAAGAGCGCCTTCTTTCCCAGTCTGTATTGGCTTCCCAATTATTCTAGGGAGGGCTCAGAAGCAGAAAACTGTCATTTATCAGGCCCAGCACAAAATGTTAGTGGGAACATAGAGAGTGGCTGGTCGGTAGGAGAGGTTATGTGGCATTCTAAGAAAGGTTACAGTTTGGGGTTCTGTAATGGCCTGTGGCAATGACTTTGGGAGACAGGAGGAAGAGCTGCAGACTAGGCAATGGTCTAGGCCAGGGGTAGGCAGCTAAATTCACAGAAGGACGGGACATGGCAAATGCCTCAAAAAAACAACAACCCTCCCTAGTTTCTTGAACTGTATAGATTAGTGGGAGAGATGTACTTTCAAATCTGCAAATTTCCTGTTATCGTAACTTTACAGTAAAGTTAGAGCTAGTTCTGGGGGTGCTTCTATCTGGAACACAGTACCTCACAAGGCTGATAGACACTCATACCGAAATCCATACAAGACTTTGCAATTCTCTAAATTACAGTATATCATAAATCAAATAAACATGCACAAGGAGCGATTTTATACTTTATAGCAAGTTTTCTTGGGTTTGATGCTGGAAAATGCGGTACACGTTTATCTAAATTGAATGATCTAAAATGTCCTTATAAAGTGAAAGATAAATGTCACAGCCATGTACCATCAACAATCTCTGTGGATGTAAAATAGATATTAAATGACAAAAGCAACTTTCAGCTGCTGAATTGTCACTGCAATCTCAATTAAATGACTTTCCAGGAATTATGGATCTATTTTTGTGAGTTCTCTGACAAACTGCATCAGTGATAGTCTTTGTTGCCAATGGAAGTTCCAAATTTAACCTTTGTAACATTTCGTTGTTGTCTGAATTGGGTTACATGAAAGATCTGAAATTCTTCTCCACTTGACACAGTTGTTTTGAATGCAAAATAGCTACTTTGTGTTTGGATTGTGTTTTTTCAGACATCTTGGTAGTATTTTGAGCCTATAACATTTCCCCTACATGCAAATTACCAAGTCAGCTGAAACTGTCTTCTCTGTACAAATGTCTCTCATCTATAGTCCTACCTAGAGCACAGGAAATGAAAAAGTGGGGCATCCAAATTTTTTCCAATGAAAGAAAGTTTTTTTAAAAAAAGAAGCTGATGCAGCTGCTTTGGAAATGTAAAAGAACAGAGGAGAACAGGAAGAGGAAGTGTAGAGGAAGGGGAAAAGCATCTGACTTAGGGAACCCTCAACCCAGAAGGAACTACTAATTCTATATATATAAATAAAAATGTAAATGTTTGTTTGTTCAAAATCTTAAATCTCCGAAAGTTCTGCACCGATTGCTTTGAAATTTTGACACAACGTTGCATTCGAATACACACGTGTTTTTATATACCTATATTATATAGATATCACACCTGTGACAGGTAAAAACATGCTTTTTTTGAAAAACAGCACCATCTGTTGGACGTAAAAGCAACACATGCTTTTACCAGACTGAGCCACAGCAACGCGTGGCTGGGTACAGCTAGTAAAGAATAAAATAGTTCTTCTTCTTCTTCTTCTTCTTCTTCTTCTTCTTCTTCTTCTTCTTCTTCTTCTTCTTCTTCTTCTTCTTCTTCTTCTTCTTCTTCTTCTTCTTCTTCTTCTCCTTCTCCTTCTCCTTCTCCTTCTCCTTCTCCTCCTCCTCCTCCAGGCCAGAATGCTTGTTTAATTTTCATCAAAATATCTTTTTTAGAACCTGCTTCACATACTTTTAGAACTGCATATCTTTTTGGTAAACTTTTCTTTGCATCCTGTTCTTGTTTTTCTAGTGCGCTCATGTGAAGTCAGCATCCATCCCAAAGTAAATGCTGTGATGTTTGGGGCTTCTTTGAATCTGACATGCACAGTTTCATGTAGCAACTATTCTGAACTGAGATGGGAAGTAGCTCTTCCATTCGTGCTCAAGAAGGGAGATGGTTGGATTAATCTGTACATAACCAGAGTGACTGAATGGTCACTTCCACTGTCATGCTTAGTTAACTATGGAGACTTTAATCAAACCTACACCAAGAAAGTAATTTATGTTTACGGTAAGTATTTACACTTTATGTTTACCATATATATTCCAAAGTCAGAACTAGAAGGTATCATAAGGCTTGGGTTAGATTTGGTTTTTTGGGGAAAAAATTCAGTAGAAGCACTGTGCTTATTTTTTCCCACCAACTATAAAATAGTGGCAAACTAGTGTTGCCGTGTCTTTGCATGGTGTTTAATGTTGTCGGTGGAGCTCAGAAAGGAGGTTCATGCAAGGCAATAACTGAGACTAGTTTATGTTCACCTTTAGAGCCCTTTCCAGCCCTCAAAAGGATTTGATCTGGGAAGTCTGCAGGGTCGAACCTGGCTTCTGCCTTTCTGGTGATCCATGGTGATTCTGCTCTAGGTGTAAACTGACACCACAAAGGCCATGCAACAGCAGTTCCCATCAAGTGACCTTCAGATATGGTGGGATGACAATTTCCAGAATTTCTGACCATTATGTTCTAAGGGATCAAGATCTCGAATCTCTTTTGGGCCGGTGGACACACTGGAATTTTTGAAAGTCTGTTGAGAACATGGAGAATGACCATTATAGGAAAGAGCTTAATCAGCCTTTAAGGTAGACAAGGTCAGGAAACAGGGGACACTAGTTTTCAAAAGTACTGTAATGCACTTAAGAAAATTCCAACAGAAACTGAAAATATACCAAAGCTTCTCTCTATTTCAACCTATTCCTAACCCAGTCAGGGCAGAATTGTTTTGAATTTCTTGTGCTTCCTACGTCCCCAGGACTTTCCTGTAGCAAACTTCATACTCTCCAGATGTGGTCTCACATCCCTGTACCAAGTGGCTGCTAAGAGGCTGTCATGAAACAACAAAAGTCAAAAGATGAGAAAAATACATTGCAATTTGTTTATTAAATTAAGTATGCCATCCATCTCACTTTGCAAAGTGACTCTGGGCAGCTTACAATTAAAATGATAAATACTAAAATATTAAAAGGCAAGATTGATACAGTGGTGCCATCTTTTCTGTTAAGGTCCACCAGCCAGCTCCAACACAGAGTGCCCCTATCAGGGCCCCAGGCCAACAATCAAAACTTGGTTTTAATGCCTTTCTCCTATGATTATACAGCAATTTAATCTTCTACTTCCACTGTAGTATTAAAGTAGTTTTATTGGTATATATCAATAGAAATATAATTTTTCTTTATCTCCAATAGACATAAAACTATTTTTTCCTAGCTCTTTCATCTTTGTTTTTGTTTTGGCATGGTATGTTATATAACAGTGATGGCGAACCTTTTAGAGACCGAGTGCCCAAAAACTGGCCCCGGCCCCGCTCCACCCCCTGCCCCGCCCCCACTCCGCCCCCCATCTTCTGCCCCGCTTGCCCGCAGGGCCACTCACCACCTCCAGGGCCCGCCGCAGATCGCCCAGGCAGCCCAGCAGCCCTCTGCCCGTGCCCCGCAGCATCAACTGTGCACAATGGGGTGTGAGGGCAGAGTCTTGTCTATGCTGCCTGGCTGCCATGTCCTTGGCTGCGCTGCTCCGTGTGGGCCACGCTCGGGGGCGACTCTCCTTCAGGGGGGCTGCTGGAACTCGTGCCATAGGTTCGCCACCACTGTTATATAACCTGAATGTAGGATTTGTTTATCATACATACTCAGCATTTTGCTTGCTCCAGTTCAAGATAGTATTCAATAATAATAATAATAATAATAATAATAATAATAATAATAATAATAATAATAATAATAATAATAATAATAATAATAATAATAATAATAATAATAATAATAATAAAGTTGGAAGGTCATCAAGTCCAACCCTCTGCTCAGGCAGGTAACCCTATACCATTTCGGACATATGGCTGTCCAGTCTCTTCTTAAAAACTTCCAGTGTTGGAGCATTCACCGCTTCTGGAGGCAGGTTGTTCCACTGGTTAATTGTTCTAACTGTCAGGAAGTTTCTCCTTAGTTCTAGGTTGCTTCTCTCTTTGGTTAGTTTCCATCCGTTGCTTCTTGTCGTGCTTTCAGGCACTTTGGAAAATAGCTTGACTCCCTCTTCTTTGTGGCAGCCCCTGAGATATTGGAACACTGCTATCATGTCCCCCCTCGTCCTTCTCTTCGTTAAAGTAAGCATTTATATATCTTGAAAATAAAACAAGAATCATTAGTTTATCTTCTTTTTAGGTTGGTTATGTAGGCTATTCAGAAAAGATGAATTCAAACCAAGATAGTGTGAACCATATAAGCATTCATTTTACCTCTCTGTGAGGTTATTTCTTATCAAAATATAATCATAACAATGCACACGTGTATATTTGGAATTTGAATCGTAATCTGAAATGAATTTGCTACCTTAGTTTTCTAACTCAAGACACCAGCAGAACACATTGTTCCAAAACAGGGATATTAGATCTTAGATAATACAATTTCCCATCCATGCAATTAATACCAGGAAAAAAGGTCCCTGATGGAAATCTATTGTACCAACCTATACTTTCTTCTACATCTAACATATATATATATATATATATCCAGGCATCAAGCCAAAAATTAATCAGCTATTTCAGACAAATAATCACAACCCTTCCACTTCCGCTTCCTCTTCCCATAACTGGAAATAAGCTATTAATCCTGATGGGGTCCATTATCCAGTTCATAGGATCACCACACCCATGGCAACAAACTTGTCTATACTGAATCGCCCTCCCTACTGCATAAGGAAACAGGAAACTGGAAACTCCAGAGGAAAGCAGCAGCTTCTGGCAGTGTCCTTATTTCCAAGAAGAAGCATCTATGGGCTCCACATAAGTCCTAGTGGTATTATTAGTGATTTAAAATAGAGGAAGGTTGCTCTGTGATGCTTTATTTAGAAGGGGATTTATCTGTCTTGCCCCACAACAACAACAACAACAACAACAACAATCATCATCATCATCATCTGGGGTGACTAAGAGCATGCTCGGGGACCAGAACAGATACAAGGAAGCAACTTTCCACTTTGACTTTTAGTAAAGAGATGGTTTTACAGTGGGCATAAGCTGGTGCTTATTTTGTGGAGAAACAGTCATGAATTGTGAGAATGGCTAAATGTTGGTACCAAACCAACATGCCATCCCTTTGATAGCGCAGTAAGGAAGGGATGCAAAAAAACATTTCAGGGATCTGGAATTTCAGGGATAGAATATAATAATAATAATAATAATAATAATAATAATAATAATAATAATAATAATAATAATAA